TATAAATTATTAAATAAATGAAATAGAAATAGAAATAATCTTTATTCAAATAAACTTAATATAAGCACTTTTGAATAGTCAAGTTTTTTTATTCTACCGCTTATTCGGAATGCAGATTCATCACAAGAAGAATAAGCAAGAAACTTGTGTGTTGCTCTTTTAAATAAATATTGATTTACTTATATTTAATTAACAACAAGGATTAGGCATACGACTATCAACATAGAAACCGCTACGACTTAATCTCTGTTCAATCAGATAACATTGTCAGCGCTATGAATTTTAAGTTAGATATTTTCTACAAAAACATTATTATCATTTATAAATTCCTCAATTTTATAATAAGCTTTTTTGCAAAGAAAACATTTTATGATACATTTAAATTTTTTCTGGCAAATAGACTACAGACTCGGAGTTTGTTGTAAAACCTTACGTAATTTCCTTAAAACGAATTACTGACTTTCGTCAAACGGCACTTAGGTAAAACTAGTTTACCTAAGTGCCTAACTGTTAATGTTTTTCCTGGCATGCATAATATTTTCGTAGATGTATTGAGAAGCAACGGTGAGGATATATAATGTATCTCTGTAGCTGTATAATATAGGTTACTGACATAGTACTATAAGTTTTTACTAACACAATATGGATGTAATCCGAATTAAAATAAATAATAATAATAACTTCAGTGGTATAGTGTGGGATTTAATATTATGTTATCTGTGGTGTAGAAGTAACCCACTTCTGATAGTCGCGGGTACGATTCCTAGCACTATACAAAATTTTGCATTTATGATTTATATTGCTTTTGGTATTTTCTTGTATATATGTGTTTATAAGTAAGTATATTGTTTAGTACCCATAATACAAGCTCTATTTAGTTTAGGACTTTATGGAGCTGTATGAAATGTCTTGAACTGTTTCGGATTTTTATCGCAGTGGTCTATATACATGAACACTTAAAAAAAATCGTTCAAGTGGTTAAAGTAAACACTGAAACGTTCACAGACAGTGACAGCGACTTTGTTTTATACAATTATTCTAGAATAATCTCAACAAAAAGTTGTTACCTAAAGTATATTATTCTATTACTAAATCATTCGTTTATGGATGAGACATGACGGTTTACGGTACCCAAAGTAATATATTTCCATATAAAACAATATATATGCATACTATTGATTCAGCTGATATGATTATAAACATTATATATTATATATGCATGCTATATATATATGTACAGAAGATATTTAAAAAAATTACTTCATTTTTAAATCAACACCTGGTTCTCTTCATATTATTATATCACATAATACGAAAATATGTTTAATTTTTTGCTATTTTAGTCATTATGTCTATCATAAGTCATTGCGCAGGTAAGAATTTATATCTTTTTTTTACTATGATGGTGGCAAACAAGCATACGGCCTATCTGATGGTAAACAGTTACCTTAGCACTTGGAGGCCTGAAACGCACGGGTGATACCAGCGGTGACACGTGCGCGTTGCCGACTCTTTCCGTTCCAAGTGACTGGTAGAATAAAATATATGACTATTTAAAAATTATTATATTAAGTTCATTTGAATAAAGATTATTTCTATTTCTAAGATCCATTCAGTCGTTTAATCATAAGAAGGTAACGGACAGATGATAATAATAATAGTAATAATACTCGATGGTATATAATAATATCATTTAGTTTAATTCCGCTATAATTAACATGTGTGAGACTACGAATATTCGGTGTGGAAACCTGACCAGCGCTACGACCTTCTCCAGTGGCGATCAAATTCCGGCCGTTATAGAGTCTATACCTATATCGCGACAAGTATTTCGCCTCTGAACGAGGCATCATCAGGCGTTAATTAGAGTTCGGGTACAGCTCGGAAGCCTAGTGTTTACTCATCGGCGAACAAACCACGACTCATGACGTCAATAGGTATAGGTAATACATACATGTTAGACATAGAAAACACCCAGACAAGATACAAACAATCATATTCATGAATATAAATGTTTGTGTCGTACGAGGAATCGAAACTGCGACCATCGGAAGTAAAGCGGTGTGCTAAACCACTAGACCACCGAGAAATAACAATAAATATGTGCCTACCATACCTATTTATAACTAGCTGTGCCCGCGGTTTCATCCGTGTTAAATGACTAAATTTCCATATAAAATATAGCCTACGTGTTATTCCAAAACATAAGCTATTACTGTAAAGTTTCATCAAAATCAGTTCAGTACTTTTTGCGTGACGGAGTAACAAACTTCCATACTTACAAAGTTTCGCGTTCATAATATTAATGACTGTTCCCGCGACTTCGTCCGCATGGAATTTAACTTTATTTTTCTAAAATAAAATATATTTTCTAAAATAAGCGTAACCTAAGTTACTCCTTATTACATCAGCTACCTGCTAAAAAAAGTCCCGTCAAAATCGGTCCAGCCATTTCAGAAATTAGCCGGAACAAACAGACAGACAGACAAAAATGATAAAAAATATTATTTTAGTATATGTACCGTATGTATATTCATATGCATGTAGTAAAAAACAGTGTAGTATTTCTATATTACAAACAGACATTCCGATTTTATTTATACTCCGATTTTGATGAAATAAAGTTTCAGTAGTAAAGTATCATCAAAATCCATTCGGTAGTTTTAGCGTAAAAGAGTAACAAACATCCATACATACAAACTTTCTCGTTTATAATATTATTATTTCGATAAAATTTCAAACATTTTTTCAGGAGAATGTCACGGAGATAACAACGCTACAGTGGGTTGCGGGAGCTATTGTGGCCAAAAGTGTTTCCAGGACGAAATAGACCCGAAGGACTATCCTATATTCTGCATACGAGACGGCTGCCAATGTCTACCCGGATACAAATACGACACTGTGATAAAAGTGTGCGTCCTACCGTCAGATTGTAGGGTATTAGACTAAATTAAAAAATATATGTATACACACATATATTTTTTAATATTACCACAGATAATATAATGTTACAATTACGCTCTTGATTCCCACAGACCATTACTCGCACAAAAAAAATATACAGCGTATTCAAAATGCGTGCATTCGATTTATTTTCCAGTTCCTCGGCACTCACACATTACTCCTTTTTTAAATTCCAATAAAATGATAAATATGAATGCCCGACGAACATTGCATTTCGCTTCGTTGCTCTTTGGAATCATACATAAAAAACAACCATCATTACTTATTCCATAAACTTCAGTTTAGTCAACTACTGCCAAGACTTGCATCTCTTTTAATATTTCCGCAGTACAGTACCGCAGCATTTCGTGGCAGCTTTCGCTACGCTGCTACGAAATGTTGGAACAATCTATCGCCTCTAATTCAAAATTCAAAATCTGTATTTACATTTAAACAAAAAACTTAATTTCTATTTGAAAATCAAATTTCCACTGTATAACTGTCCGTACTGTATTGTATTATCTATGTATTTTTATTTCTATACATTATCATAGCATAGACTTACACCTAATCAGAAGCACCAACAGCGCACGTTCACGCAGGCAGCAATAGGTACACAATTTTTATATTTTAAATTATTTTCTACAAGGTTCCACTGAAAATCAGCGTTTGGACTTTACAGCCCAGACACAAAGCTGAGTGGACACCAATTTGGTCGCAGCTGTATTTTTAAAATAACTTGTTAAAATTTTTGTAATATGTTGTATGATTGTTTTGTATGCGCCAAATTAATATATTCTTCTTTCTTTCTTTCTTTCTTTCTTTCTTTCTTTCATAAAGTTCATCCCTTTTGTTTTGTTTTAGAATCGTTTTTTTCTTCTTTCTTTCACCTTCACGAAAATATTGTATTAAGTATGTGTGTGGTCAGGCCTCTCTTTTCCAATCGGCACGTGCCTAGTGCCCCGTGATGGATTGGGGCCCCCTAGTCTAGTCTAGTCCCTACTCCATTACCAAACGATAACCGATAGCTTCTCTACTCTCGCCTGAAAATTAGTCTTAACAAATGCTTACCTACATTGATCATATTGTTCGTTTATGGTAATTATTTTATAAATGTCTAGCAAGAACTAAAACCCCTCATCACATAACGACTTTCTAGAATTATTTTTGTCATTTTTGCATATTTTGTTTTGAAGGTAGGGCCCCCTTATCTAAATGTGCCCAGGACCTCTAATAGGGGAAAGACGGCCCTGTGTGTGATAGTGTAGGTTCTCTCCTTTTCCCTTATACACTATACATATTAATTGACGGTATTCTGAGGCTTTGGCACACTCCAATCTGTCCGGGACTACGGACGTGGCGACACCAGCCCTCATAGCATCAACACTTATAATACTTTAGTGTATACATTAATGTAACATACAATGATTTTATTGTTACTAATTTATTTTTGATAATAAAGTGAAAATGAATATTATGATATTTTTAATTTTATTCGTATTCCATCCTCGGAGTTTCCAATGAAAATGTATTTTGTAAATGTCCTTTTCTTATACTTGAATAATAGAGCGGGGAATAATAATATTTTTTTAAGAAAAATGTCTATTCAAAAATACGTTTTTATTTACAGCGCCATCTAGTGGCGAATAGCTAAACTTATTTGGTATGAATTTTTTATTGTATGTAGTTACAATAATTTTTATGACTTCGTGAGAAGGCTACCTAAGAACAAGTAGGAAGGCAATGAAGCTTACTTTGTACATATAGAGATGTACTCAATGTGAGGCGGGTTATTATTATAAAATCTAAGCATAACTTAGATTTTAGAATTTAAGATTTATTATACATAATAAAATATATTTGTATTAAGTTATCCTAAGTTAAGACGTAGTACCATACTTAGGGACTGGTTTAGGTACTTTTTTAGAAGAATTAATATTTATTATTAATTCTTAAGAAACAAGAACTCCGATATTGACTATCTTGTTTACATACATGACAGTTAGGTACTCTGTGCTCTTATGACAATTTGAATGACAATGGCATTCGACCAAAGTACAATAAATAAATAAATAAACAAACCTAATTTTACTTGTAAATATTTAGAAAATTTTATAAATTCTGTAATTAATATTATAAAATATGGAATCAAATATATGCCGTTGTTGTCTCACAAATGGCTGCTACAAAAACATGTCGAGTAAATACAGCCACGACGGACAAATCGAAATATATATTGATATGTTATTAGATACATTTAATTTACATGTAAGTTAACAATCTTTTAGTATAAATTAATGTTAGATTAATGTTTTAGTTTCGAATAAAAAACTTGTTTCCATTTCCATCCATTTTCGTCTGCTACTTTTAGCTAAATTTACGGCAGAAACTGATATTATACACGTCTTAAAAATAAAAGTAGCATATTTATTTATTGAGAAATATTTGATGTTAATGATTAAATTTGACTAACAACAATAAAATTAAGAAATCTATATGGTACCTCAGTTTCTCTACACACACAAAGTCCTAAATGCCAGGAAAAATTGCAGAAAACCAGTCTTAATTTATATTTACATAAAGTATACTTTTTTATATTACTTTTTGCGATGGCCTTGGTAGTCTAGTCTTTTGTAGATATATATGTATGTTATATTTACATATATGTATATACAAAAAATAAATATCGAAGTATTTATATCAAGTAGTTGTCTAGTAGCCATAACACAAGTTCTGCTCACCATGAGACAGAATGGCGTTGTGTGAATTATTATTATTATACTTTTTATTCACTCCCTTCTTTGTCCAACCCAACATGGGTTATCTGGGGTCGGGTCTCCCTGTACAGAGAACTTTGTTCTGGGTTGTCTGTATATTAAGGTTGTCCTGGTCCATCTGCCCCTCTGATTGAGTTTGGTATCTTGAGCACATTTTTAACCACATAGTTGTCTTTGCATCTTTGAATATGGCCATAGCATCGTAAGAGACTTTCTCTTACTTTCTCCACAATAGGAGCTACTCTGATGGAACCTCTAATTTTTTTACTCCCTACATTTTAGATATCAAAGTTGAGTGATTGTACACAATTAATATGTGAGAATTGCATCATAAAACTTAGAGATGCCACAGAGTTCAAGAAACAAGTGCTGTTAGTTGAAGACACTCTGTTAAAACAGTATAGTGCAGCATCTACATCACATGAAGGTGTGTTCAGAAATAAGTAGTGTATATGTCTAACATACTTTAAATATTGAAAATCCTTTGTCTCGACAACTAATGCATACAAGTTTATCTAGATATAGGTAATAAGCTTTATTTTATAAGTTTTCTTAATAAAAAATTTGAATTTATGGAAAGATAGACCTGCATCATCATAGGGGGTGTAGACGGGTCTGGTCAGGACCCAGTCAGGGTTCACTTCTTGTGACACTTTCCACTTCATCATCTTGTCAAAAGTTTTGCCATTCTAGTAATCCTATAATTTATAAAACTCTTCCATCTTTTATCTTCCACAATGACATTAAACTTTAAAACCCATGATCACTAATTCAGAGTAATTCCAAAATTTAACCCGTTTATTTCCGTTATCTCGTCCCATTTCCTGTTTGTTCATGGTTTAATAGGCAATACTAGCCTCTTGCCAAAAGAAGGAAAAACAAATATAAAAATAAATCTTTAACAATCGTTTTTCAGGAAAGGATGCTACCATACAAATTAAAGAAGAAAATGGTAATGATGAATTTGATGACCACATACCTGCTTTCAATGATGAAGCTGATGACTCGACCTTTATCATAGAGCAGGGCGACATGAATGACACTGAAGGTATTTTGAATACTGATATTTTGATTTCTAATGACAATCCTGCGTTAACGATATACTACGCTGGGCACCTGTGGAGCAGTCCTAGATTTATAAATAGGCCATATAGGCTGCGGCCTAGGGGCGACAGCGTCCTAGGGGCGGCAAAATTATTATTTTAGAAAGGTAATATAGAGAAATAAAATGGCTTACACTCATAAAAAATATAAATCCGATACTACAGTCTCGGATTTATATTTTTTATACCACTAAAATACTTGAAGTTTTATTATGCCCTTATGTATCTTCATTTGATATTGTAACATAACTACCCAGTCCTGTATTTATAAATAGATCATATAGGCCGCGGCCTAGTGGCGGCAAAAATATTATTTTAGAAAGGTAATACACCTACATGTGGCGGCGGAAATAAAGTGGCCTGCACCCAAAAAAAATATTAATTCTACACTGCTGTGGAGCATGGTAGGATGAGCATGAAGTCATGTCAGTTAGCCTATTACGATAAATTCACCTGAAATTTATCACTGACCAACCTAGTATATTGTATGAAGTCATGTCAGTTAGCCTATTACGATAAATTCACCTGAAATTTATCACTGACCAACCTAGTATATTGTATGAAGTCATGTCAGTTAGCCTATTACGATAAATTCACCTGAAATTTATCACTGACCAACCTAGTATATTGTATGAAGTCATGTCAGTTAGCCTATTATGATAAATTCACCTGAAATTTATCACTGACCAACCTAGTATATTGTATGAAGTCATGTCAGTTAGCCTATTATGATAAATTCACCTGAAATTTATCACTGACCAACCTAGTATATTGCTGGCTGTAGGGTCACTAGTCCATAAAACTTCCATCTCATCTCCCTCTCCTCTCAGAACATCTGGGAACAGTATTTATTATTGTTTTATTACTAATTGAGACTTATGGCTTAGTAGTACTTAGTGTGTTTACTATTCTCAATTATATCGACCTCGGTGGTCTAGCGGTTTAGCACACAGCTTTACGTCTGATGGTCACGGGTTCGGTTCCTCGCTCAGCACAAACATTTGTATTCATGAGTATGATTCTTTGTGTCAATCTGGGTGTTCTCTATGTATAATATATATGTATTTACGAAAAAAAAAATATCGATATATCAGTACCTCTGACTATCCCAATTGGGATAACAGTCGTAACCATTTGGTTTTGTTTATGGACAGTAGGGATAATCTTAAAAAAAATGGAAGTGCTCAAGAGGTCAAAAGGTCCTATGTTAACAAATAATTTTGTTTAATTTTTTATTTCTAATTTTCAGGACAAATATTCATTATTAAAATGGAACCAAAGTCAGATTCTGTCGGTAAAGAAAATCATAAACTACACAAAGCTCCTGTAAGAAAGAAAAGTGAGGCCAGAGTGATGCCGCTAAGGAATATATGTAAGTTGCATTCTTCATCATAACAACTCATTGTTTAATATTCAACTGTTAAATAATGTTAGACACTCTAAGCGACGCACTACCTATGTATAACTAGGAGACCCGGCCACGCGTTACTGTGGCTAAGGTTAAATAATATTACGACTATAAATTGAGATGTAAGCTGTCCTATCTTTCAAGTTGGATCAAATTGCACACAATGTGCAAATCAAATTTGCAATCGGTTCAGTAGTTTAGGAGTCCATCCCGGACAAACAACGTGACACGTAATTTTTATATACAAAGATTTTTTTGTTGTATATTTTATGTTATGTTCCTTTTTAGATTACATTCTTATTTTAATCTGTTATTTAGAACGGTATGTATATTACTTATCTACGTATGATTTTTATATTAATTATATAAATATACATACATATAAATAAAATTGAAGTGTCTGTTTGTAATATTGAAATAATCGTTTTTTACTACATGCATATGAATGTAAATACGGTACATGCACCAAAATAACATTTTTATCATTTTTGTCTGTCTGTCTGTTTGTTGCGGCTAATCTCTGAAATGGCTGGACCGATTTTGACGGGATATTTTTTGGCAGGTAACTTATGTAATAAGGAGTAATTTAGGTTACTTATATATTAGAAAAAATCTTTTTTTTTTTAGAAAAATAAAGTTAACTTCCACTCGGACGAAGTCGCGGAAACAACTAAATAAACCGGCTTTAAAAAAAGTAATTGAATGGAGTTTCTTGCCAGTTCTTCTCAATTGGATCTATATACTAAACTGGACGGCAGGGGAAAAATATAATATAAATAATTTGACGTTCATAATCGGCTAAATGGTTCTACATAAATAAATGTTTTTTGAATTTCGGCCTCGGTGTTCTAGTGGTTTAGCACACCGCCTTACATCGATGGGTTGCGATTCGATTCCGTTACAAACATAAAATATATATATATAATATTATTTAATCTATCGTTTTCACACTGTCGCGGGCATTATCGTTATTATTATAGTATCTAGTGATATACTAGACTACATTCAACATTAAGATGTTTTGTTGTTTTCAGCAAAATCCATAAAGACAAGACCTAAAAAAGCTCCAGACATATCACAAAGACAGATCGATCTCAGAGAAAATTCACTAAAACTCGTCCAGAACTCGAACCTATGCCTCTTCAAATCTAGAAAAACGAAGTTCGGATGTTTCTTCTGTAAAGAATCCTTCTTCAAAATCTCCGATCTGAGGGAGCACACGAAAATACACTCCAACGCGAAGATCTTAAAGCTGAGATTCAATTCGCTGCGAGGACTGTCATATAAAAGTGTCGAAATAAGCAACCTGGCCTGTAAAATCTGTTCGGAACAATGCAAAGACCTGCAAGATCTGAAATCACATTTAATAACTCACAATATTAAATTCGGTTCCGACGCCGACGGCCATCTTTTAATACCCTACAAATTGGAAGGCGATTTGAAATGTAGTATATGCGATCAAAAATTCAACACATTCACCCGTTTAGCCGTTCATATGAATAAACATTTCATGAACAACGTTTGTGAGATCTGTGGCGTCTCGTACATAAATCGTTTAAGTTTAAGAACACACGTCAACTCCGTGCATAAAGAAAAAAAGTGTAGTCTATGCTCGGCTACATTTTTGACGCACTATTCGAAAGTTAAACATATGAAGAAGAGTCATAACGCTGGTGTATCGAAACGGTATTGTCTATTGTGTAACGCTACGTTCCGTTACACGTATTTATTGTTAGAACATACGATACGAGAGCATGGGGTTGAACGGCAGACGTTTGAATGCACGGAATGCGGGAAAACGTTCCATGCGCAGCAGAATTTGAAGACTCATATCCGATGTGTGCATATAAAGGAACGCAACTACCCTTGTGGTATTTGTTATAGGAGGTTTTTTACTAAATGTGATCAGAGAAGACACGAGAAGTCTCATGAGGATGTTAGGTCGTTTTCTTGTAGTTATTGCGAAGGTAGATTTAAGTCTAAAGATTCCTTACGTCGCCATCTAAAGCGACAGCACGGACAAATGTATGAGAAATCACAATAAAAGATTACTATATTAAATGTATTTTATTTAAATACACACACACTTAGATAAAGTGGTCTAGCGGTTGGTTTTTAAGGCTTTACTTGCACTGGTCGTGGGTTCGATTCCTCGCACGGTACAAACATTTGTATTCATAAGTATGATTGTATCGGTCTGGGTGTTTTTTATATATATTATGTATGCATTTACAAAAAAAATTGCTAAGTGCATCTTTTAGTTGTCTAGTACCCATAACACAAGTTCTGCTTAGCTGAAAAATAGATGGCGCTGTGTGAATTGTCCAGGGATGTTACGTTATTATTATATTCTGTATTCATGATTATCATTATCATATATATATAGAAAGTATCCAGACATATATATATATATATCAGTCTGGATGTTTTCTATGTATATTATGTATGTATTTACAATAAAAAAGTATCTAAGTATTTATATCTGTTATATAATACCCATATATAGATAATTATTGTTATTAGGTAATTTTATACAAAATTTTATATATATTCTTTATTGTACAAATGATACCATTAATAAAATAATTGAGAGACAATGTAAGCAAAGATGGACTTATACCTAGAAGAGATCTCTTTCAGTCAACGCAATACTAACAGTTCACCACGATGGGCGAACTGTCCTGATTATTAAGCTCATCCTTTCATCCTCCACTTGTGTGCAGGCGGGTGCACTATTCCATTATCATACATAAAAAGTATGAACAATTCTAACAGTTCCTTCTGGAGTGGAGCTTTTCCCCAGGGGTTACCTCGTGGAGGTCGTATCTTATCATCCTACACATATACCGTTAGCACATCAGTTAAAACAAAAGCTCACAGTTCAATAAAGAAAAAACTGCTTAAATATAAATATTTTTATTAATATAACAATATTTTAACAATAATCTTGTTATTACAATAAACCATAATAAAACATATCAGATAATAACAAACTCCATTGCTATATTCCGTCCTGCGGACATATCTACCACAAACAAATTATTATTCATAATAATAACACTGGTCAACACAAGTCTTGTTTCCTTCATTTTTTTCTTTTTTTGGGTATTTTTATGGCTTTGAGTATGAAGAAAATATTGATTTCTAGTAGCTTAAATTTTTTATTACCAGTTTTTTTTCTGTATTTCGGTATTTTATGGCTCCGATTGATAAAATACCTATTGGGAGATTGCTACTACCATCATTTTTTTATATACAGACAGTTTTATCATTTTGACGAAAAAAAAAAACAGAAAATAAATACATTACGTTAACAAAATTTCTATTAAACACTATCAATATACTACAAATATAGCAAAAACAATCGTGATTAATTACACAACACAATGTTGACGAAGTCATATCGAAAACAACAGCAAAATATATATCAGTGTTCAATAAAAAACGCAAATCAAAGTTGAACATAGTAAATGAGGGAGGGAAGTTAGCTGTAACTCAAAAACAAAAGCTGTAAACTGTTGCTATATTCAAACAATACGCGTTAATTCGAGGTAGAAATGGAAAAAATCGAAGGAATAAACAATTTTTTTGTTGACCAGTGTAATATAACCTCAAAACTTGTCTTTTACAGTCATTGTCAAATGTACATAATTAGCAGAATATATTTGACTGTTCAATAAGCAAATTCAACCCTGCCGCCGTGTCTCTGATTAATTTGGTTTGTTATCGGTGTTTCCGTCAGCTGAGAGTCAGTCAGAAAATAATATCGATTCTTCCTAAATTTTTAATTTAAAAAATCTGTATAGATGTAAACATGTACAAGTATATATGAAAAGAAAAAGACCTGAGTTTCTTGTCAGTTCTTCTCAGAAAGGTCTCCGAACTGACAGTAGCTTATATCATATTTATGATATGTCAGTTCGGAGACCTTTCTGAGAAGAACCGACAAGAAACTCAGGTCTTACGGTAGCTTTTGACATATCATATGAGTCTGTAATAGAACTACATGAATAAAGATATTTTGATTTTGATAAATCAACTGTATTTTTTTGCTATCACATCCTCGCAAAAACAATATTAATACTTTAAAAATGCTTTTTCTTTATTATATATAATATTAAAATAGCAAAAAAATCTAAACCACTGTATTTCTAGATGAGGTATTTGGTATAATCATTATTGCAGTTGTTTCTGTCTACCATGTAAATGACATGGCGTGAATATACACTATATACTGACGGCCTCGGTGGTCCAGCGGTTTAGCACACCGCTTTACTTCCGATCGTCACGGTTTCGATTCCTCGCGCGGTGCAAACATTTGTATTCATGAGTTTAATTGTTTGTATTACTCTAGGTGTTTTCTATGTATATTATGTATGTATTTACAATAAAATCTATGTATTTATATCAGTTGTCTAGTACCCATAACACAAGCTCTGCTTACCATGGGTCTAGATGGCGCTGTGTTAATTGACCAGGGTTATATATTTCTTATTATACACATACAGTAACCCCGTATGTATGTATATACATATAATATATAAGCAGAGCTTGTATTATATATATATATATCTGTGTGTATATATGTATGTATATGTGTATATAGAAGTGATCTATACATATGTCAGTGATACATTTCTCACTGGACGGAACATAATTTACGTAACATTTTGTCTTGTCTAATCTTATCTCATCTCATCTATATATTACCATTTGCAATTCAGGAGATTAAAATAATTACTCAATTACCAGCCGGTCTAGTGGTTTAGCACAGCGGCTTATTTCCTGTGGTCGTGGGTTCGATTCCTTCCTTTTTTATATATTCTTTACTGCACTTAAATACATTTTAGGTATATTAATTAGAAACAATGTTAACAAAGGAGGACTTATCTCTAAAAGAGATCTCTTCCAGTCAACTCAACCCAATTTAATTTTCAATTATTGCCTGAGAATCGAACCCGCAATCGTGAGATGGTGTGGTAGCGTGCCAACATGCTACACGATGTAAAAGTTGTTAAAATGGCGCTGAATATGGAATGAACAAAAACATCACGGAAACGCCACTACACATCCTATGTGGCTGTAACTCACTCATACATAAACGTAATATCTCCTTTGGAAAGTTTGCACTCTATCCTGAGGAGATAAAAACTGTCGCTCCTAAGAATATCCTTCATTTCTTGTCGAATTGTTCAATTCTAGGTCGCGAACTCTTAAAAAGGGCGAGCACAATAGATCTCTGTAGGTCGCAGTGCTACAGGTCCAAGCACTTGACAATAGTCCATACAGCCTAATAAAAAAGAGACATTACGATGTTGATTCTAAATCACTGAAAGTCACTATTTTAACCTCCCAACAATTTGGTACGCAATAGGCATAGCCATCGATCAATAATACCAAATAGATAGTCATACGAGCTCAAACGGAATTTAAATATGACATTATTTGACTACAAAATTGATACAATTTACTATCATTATCTACCATATAATAACATCAAAAATTGCAATGTAATTTAAACCTTAAATACAAACATCAAATCACAGTTTCCTTTGTCTGCATAAAAACCTAATTCAAAATAAGACCCCAGTAGAAAAAGGCATTATACGTCCGCATTAGCCCGACATCTAGTTGCATTTTTGATCGAAGACTATCAGTAATTTTTACGCTGAATGCAGCGGCTGAACGATCCTCTCATCCAAATCTAACTTCCTCTCATGAACCTTGAGGTGTCCTTTTAAAGTGCATTTTTGCGTGAACGCCCTCCCACAGACCGGGCATACGAACCTTTTATCGTTGTTGTGTATCCTCAAATGTTCTGTTAGCGTCTTCTTCCTCTGATACGACTTCTGACAGATGTGGCACGTGTGTATTCTCTCGCCGTCGTGCTTTATCATGTGCATCTTGAGGGCATTCTTCGTGTAAAACGCTAGATCACACTTGTCACACTTATGGTTCCTCTCGTTCAAATGGTCCCTACGTACATGGCTGGATAGATGTCCAGGCGTTATATAACACTGGGAGCACACTTTACACTTATATCTCTTCAGTTCTTCATTGTGCACCTCAGCTAGATGCTTCTGTCTTGCGTAGAACGATGTCAACGAAATATTACAGCGCTTACAAGCGTACCGAACACCAGATTTATGCTCTTTAGAGACGTGATTCTCTCGCTTGGTCACTCTATCAAAAACTGCGTCGCAATGTCTACACGGAAAGTTTCCTACCTCATGCGTCCTCATATGACCACGCAGTCTCGCTTTCGACGCGAACGCCTTCCCACAATTCTCGCAAATATAATTAGGATAATGGATATTCATGTGCGTATTCAAACTTACGTAATTCAGGAACGTTTTCTTGCATACGGGGCAGTCTAGTTGGTCCTTCTCCAATTTGAAGGGTAGCTTGTTCCATTTTCTGCCGTATTTCAATTGACTACAGTTGTCTATGTGGTGTCTGAGCTCGTCGTAGCTAGCGACATCTGTTGTGCACAGTTTGCAGCGTAACTTCGTTGAACATTTGTAGAACCGCGTCCTTTGCGAGTTGGAGAACATCATTTTCCTGAATGCCAAGTGTATGTTGTTCTTGTTGTGTTCAGTTATATGATTCTTTATGTCGTCCAGATTTTTGGAACTTTCAGGGCATATGGAACAAGTGAATGTGAAGTTTTTACGGATTTTGAAGGGGAACAGTCCCACATCGAGCATGGCTTCAGTGTCTTTGAGGTCGTTCTTTTTAATTTTATTATATATCTTCATTAGTTTAGGCTTGCTCTTTGTACTTCTTGTTTTTCTTGGTTCATTTTGGGGTTCTTCTTTTATTTTGAATTCGTTTAGTGCTGGAAAGAATAAAAGAATATCTTTACGACCATTATCAGAGAGGGAGTAGTGAGATGCATTGACAACTGCAGATGTTTTATTTATTTATTTTATTTATATAACTTTAATGCACACAGTACAAAAGTAACAGTACATTTGGCGGACTTAACACCATGCGGTATTTTCTACCAGTCAACCATAGGCAGTACAGAGAAAAATTGTTGGCGGTGCAAAAATAATCATAACAAAAAAAAAATAAAAATCAAGATGTTGTGGTGAACACATTTGACATGCCCTCATCGCTGGCTATATTTGAATCTAACGTGGCAGGTGGCAATACTACGCCATCTCTCGGATTAATGTTACTTGTTATTATACTAAACGTAGTGACACACTGTACACTGAATCAAGCGATATTCTACAATAAATTACCGAAAGAACTTAGATTATGAAATAAACTAAATTTGTTTTAAGAAAAACTTGACGTCACTCAATTGATGATTTTTTAAATTATTTTTTATTAGTAACTTTCTTTATAATAACTTTGAAATCTATGCTTAATATAAATATTCAAACACTATGTTATATTATGTTTATGAATAAATAAAGAAATAAAACTGTTTCCAACACTGGAGAGTCGGTTAGAATCAGAATCTTTTTGGTCACAAGGTTATTCATACTAAATTGTGTACTACTTCAATTTAAAAAAAAATGTAAAAAAGCATACTCATGTGGTCCTCCTCGTCTCCGAAGTCGGTGAAGTCGAAATCGTCGTGCAGGTCGCCGTGTGTCTCCTTCTTCACCTCACTGAACGCGTCCTGGTCATCATCTACTGAAAAATATGAAGTTACGTGTTTATTCACGGCCATGGTGGTCTAGCGGTTTAGCACACCGCTTCCGATGGTCGCGGTTTCGATTCCTCGCACGGCACAAACATTCATGAGTGCGATTGTTTGTATCGGTCTGGATGTGTTCTATGTATATTATGTATGTATTTACAAAAAATAATTAAGTATTTATTTCAGTTGTCTAGTACCCTTAACACAAGCTCTGCTTACCGTAGGACTAGATAGCGCTGTGTTAATTGTCCAGGGTTATTTATTTATTTGAGCTACAAGCCTTCCACTATGTTTATAATTATTATTATTTTAGTAGTTCAAATGTTTTAACAGATATATAACAGACTTACTATGTAATATGTAAGCAGACTCGAGTGATTTGAGCGATGTCTCCACTTGTTGACGAAACAACAGACAATCACACAGCTTGCTAATACAGGGATCACAGATCAAACGCTTGGAGTCGCCCAACTGCAGTATAGTTATCTGTGGACATTAATCAAGCATTATACAGCAACAAATAAATACATTTTTGCAACCTGAGTTGTCATATTTTACTTAACAACTATTTTAATTAAAAGCAAAGCAAACTGTAAACGACACCACAGTGTCTCCCTTACAATGACGTTGGCAAAATCACCAATCTCATTTGGTGAAAGCTATTCAAATTAAAAGAAGAAAGTTGTATCAAAAATTATTAGCTTGTAATAGTCCCTAGTTTGGCTTAATTAGTAAACTGTAGTAGTACCACCACCCTTATAACTTAAGAGTACCCAAACGTAAAGTAGTTCTCAAACCAAATTTCATACATATCAGTCAAATATAATTACAGTGTGAGAACATAATTTTATATATTTACTATTTTGTGTCTTAGATTAATATCCAAGAAATCAAAACAAAAGGAAACCAGGGTGAAAGAAGGTAGAAAGAGATGGGTGGGTGGACCAACATGGAGAAGGAAAGAATTGGACAGTGTTGTAACTGGCTAATCATTTTATTTCAGGCTATTTTTTTTCTAAATTTGTATTTGAATTTATAGTTCTTTTATATCACATTCTTATTTTATACTTCAAATTCTGTTGTCAATAGTTTTACCAATACTTCCTGAATATATTTTCTCCATATACCTAGTATTTTTTCGTTTTACCTATACACAAATAAAATAAAAGTACAACAGATAGAGGAATGTGGGAGTTTATAAGAGGGGATCTATAGGACATGCTGATAAGCCGCAGCAGTCAAATAGCAATAAACAAAAAAACTACATTAACTTCAGGTTCAGTGTAAAAACTATAAATAAATCAGATAAGTATTTTATTTATTCAGAATTATTACAATTTTATTGATAATTCGCGAGCATGATGGCATGGTAAGTAGGTAAGAACATCAGATTGTTTGGTAAAGTAAATGCTAATTATTAAGACATTTAGCACATAATTAGTTTCATGTGAAATTCCAACATTAATTAACAATCAAACATGATTTCTAACAAGATTCTTGTAGGAACATTCTAACATAGAGAATGTACATGTACTTCATATATTCTATTTTTTCTCTGCCTATAGAATAGAAAAAAAAAACATTGTCATTGAGTAACATAGGCTATATTCCTGGCAGGAATACCATAGACTACAAAGAGAGAGAAAGAGAATAATTAATTGTAAAATGTTTAGTAACACCCAAATAGAAAGTAACCTAAGAAATTGTATTTATAAATAGAATAGAAATAATCTTTATTCAAATAAACTTAATACAGTGGATACCATTATCCGACAAAGAGAGAGAGAGAGACCATCGAATTTGTCGGATTATATGTGCTGCCTAAATAGTGTTTTTTTAGTAAAGAGTATCTTGTAATCCGACAAATTACAGATCCAGTGATAAGATTCTAGGTTATATATATATGTATGTAGGTATATGCACTCTGAACTATATTGTGAAAAAAATATTCAGTAATAAATAATAGACCATGTCGGATTACAAGGGGGGCCAGATAAGACAGGGGCTGGATTACCGCAGGTTCCAATGTATAAGCACTTTTAAATAGTCTTACTTAGATTTTCTTTTATTCGGGATGCAGACTAATCACAAGAACAATGAGAAAGAAACTTGTGTGTTACTCTTTTAAATAAATGTTTTTAGGAATCATGTCAAATAGCTGTACTAAAGGAAAAGGGATTGTTACCACAGTAACAATCCCTTTTCCTTTACACCACAGTGTTAAAGATAATATTGTATATAAGCTAAACATATATAAATAAACTAGTCAACTGCCAGCTCCCATGTTTCATTAACATTCCAGTTATTAATGTGCACAATGAGCACCCTGTCAGATTGAACTGCATGCAGTGCCTCTGCATTATGATAAATTCCCGTGGTTGGTTAATTTCCCGTGATTGACTTAACTTGATCTCCACATGGTTCCCCTGGAAATCTTTCCTATGATGGGCTAACTGACGTGACGTCATGTTCATCTCATCATCCTCCACTGGTGCCCCGCCAGCGTATACAGTTAGCACAGGCAGGCGAACCAGACCATATTAAATCAATATAGAAAAATAAAGTCCATTTGTTTGGACTGACTGATACTGGTCTGGACACCCTAGAATGGTTGGGGCCTCGGGGCGAGCCCCTTTGCCTCGACATTAACTCAGAGGGCAACAATCCCTGGGTAACTGTATGTAAGCCTCTTACTTATTGGTTTGGGGGCTACGAAACCACAGACTGTTTGCGTTGGGGTTAAATATTACAATCCCTGATGAGTACTCACGTCAATAGAGAAGCATTTTGTCAACATATCAATATAAGACTCCGTGTTTTCTTCTCGATGTTCTGTAAGCAACATACTCTTAACTGGGCCTTCAGTTAAGCACAAATTGCAAATACCGAATAGAGGTAGCGTCTCTACCAATATCTCCGGATCCATTATTATCTTTTTGTATATATTACACTTGAACAATCCAACATTTTTTATTAAAAAACATATAAAGATATTATTATGATTAAAATATAAACAATTGCTAATATTCGATAGGTTTCATCACTTCATTCATTGATTGAATGACACTGACTGACAGCTATAATGACACTTCATTATAACTTGACAGAATTTAGTTTAGACAGTTGTAAATATTAGTAAAATGTATATACAGGCAGTCCGCGTACTTACGGCATATTAGGTTCTCGAAATACGGGACGTAAGTCGAAACATATTTTTTCATAGAGAGAAGAGCTAGCAGCTACCTTGGACAAAGAATTAGTCTAGCTATTCAAAGAGGGAACACTGCCCGTATCTTCGGAACTTTGCCTAAAGGGACCCCTTTTAATAATATATTTTATTTATTTATTATATTATATTTTTTAAGCTTTTTAATTTTAGGTTCCTAGTTGTACAATTAAGTTATGTAAATATTCTAAATATACACATTTTTTCATATGTAATAATACATATTGTTTATATGTAAAAAATTCAAGGGTTAGGTGGATCCTAACGGACACAAAATTAAAAAAAAACTGCATTTATAACAAAGTATATACCTACATACTTTATTATCAAAAGTACTTAAGTTTGACGACGTAAATCGAAACTACGTAAGTCGAGGACTGCCTGTAATTTCTTGTGTTAAATAAAACTTAGAAATCGATTTTGATTTGTTTCAATTCGATTTCCTAAATATTTTTTAGACAATCATCATACAATTTGGTTCGTGGCTTTGGCTTATAGAACTACGTACTCTTATCCCTATTAATTACCTGCACAGATTATATTTTAAGTTATAAATAGCTCTGTCCGTGATAGATTTTTATTATTTGTATATTATATAGGTATTGAACTCAAATTATATCGATTAATTAAAGTAGGCAGCTTATATAAATATTTTCATCCTGTAAAATTTCGATAATTCAATTATCCATTAAGCTAGTCTATTATAATAAAACAACGGTTATATTTGCTAAATACGTGTATTTCTAAATCTTTAAAGTAAAGCTTAATGAGACAAATAATAAGAAATTAATGTAAAAATAATCTAAGAAATTTATAGTAATTAAAATATTAGGTATTTATAATCTAACGAACACCATAAGTCACATGAGCGTTATAGAGCATGAACATCTCTATTTATGCTTCAATGGATATATTCAAACATTTAATTGTTTATTACATTTTATTTTATTCCCGCCAAAACACCACATAAAAATTATTCAAAATGGCTGCAGTCAATTCAGATTTAGACTTAAGTAAACACTTTTCTACATTGTTTTTTCTTATTTTTATTATGTTTATGTTCTTTATCCTGCTCGATTTGGCTGCGTTTCATGAGTAATTCTTGAGGTATGGGTATTTGTCCGTATGAATCCACGCCGGGACCGCAGTTCATCTTCATTTTGAATTTTAGTGTTCGGTGCAGTGACTCGGATGGCAGATATCTTATAGTATCATTATGGAAGTGCAAATCTCTGTAACACATCACAAAAAAATTGTATTGTATAATTTATTTTCATTAACGGCCTCGGTGGTCTACCCTAGAGCAACGTAACTAAGGTGGTGTGCTACGCCTTAGTTCCGTTGCTCGCGGGTTAGATTCCTCGTACGACACAAACATTGTACTCATGAGTATGATTGTTTCTATCGGTCTGGTTATTTTCTCTGTATTTGTATCAGTTATCAGTTTAGATAACTGATACAAATATTATTGTACCCACAACACAAACTAGCTTAACTTGGGACTAGATGGCGCTGCGTGATTGGTCCTGATTTTTTTTTTTTATTTTATTTTTTATTATTTATAAGTATTACATATATACAATTTGTTTTTACAATTATCGCCAAACTGGTTACTAATTTAAATATACATTATTTAAATTATTAACCGGGTCTTAACACGAATAATTTTATGACGAACAAAGGTATTTACCTCTCTCGACGTTTCGACTAGGTTGCACTGGCCGTGGTCACGAGCTGACTCAAATACTAAGAAGTAAATATTTATTTGCCATAAAATTATTCGTGTTAAGACCCGGTTAATAATTTAAATAATGTAAACTCATACATGCCATTCGTGATGACTAAAGTGCCATGCTTCTGCACTCTATAATTTGACTGTCATAAAATGTGTGACACTTTAAAGCCACAGAACATACTACGGCAGGAAGCCTCCCCACGGGCCCACCCGTTTCACCCCGACCACACTTTTACACAAACACACGACATCGTCCTCGCCGGTGAAGACGACGACCTCAAACACACAATATCGCGCATTCAACCTGGCGCCTGCGCGCGCCCGGGTGCTCCACACCGGCGCCCCCGAGCGCCCATCCGATCGATCCCCCGTCCAATTCAAACGGGGATCGAAATTACGACGGCCCGAGCCGAGGTTCGAACCCCTAGTGGTGCCCTCAGACTAAAGTCGTATCCGTCAGGCAGGAGTTGGCCTTCAGCCGTTCCATAAGTGCTTTCGCGGATTTGGAGTGCTTTCTGCACTCGCCCCCTAACGTCCGGTGAAGCTGTAAAGGCCAGCTGCGGCCAACAGCATAGAGTAGTCCGAAAAAAAAAGAACATAGTAGTAGAATGTTTTTGTTCTGTGTTCAAAATAATTAGCGATGAAATTAGGCGACTCAGAGGTAGATAAAGCATTTAATATATAGGTAGTTATCATTTACAAATTCACTCTAATTATCATAGTCTGCTTCTTCCTTATACCATTTATTTATGGTCGTCGTAATATGTTTTTCTCTTCCATTCATCCCTGTTGTCGCAGACATCTCGTTATTTACTCCCTTTCTTACCATATCATCTTTCACACAATCCATTCATCTCTTTTTCGACCTTCCTCTGCCCTTATAACTATCCACATTCATTTGAATATTATTCAAACTCACCTATTATCAGGAAATTGGAAAGGAGTGAAGGTCCTGCTTTCCATCTGTTGCTTGTACTGTTCCCAACGACATGCCAGGAATTTGTTGCTTTTCAAAGAATAATGTCGTATATACACTTGCTCGTACACGCTTTTCTCAAAAGTGGGTATAGTGCGGTAGTTACTACCAATTTCTTTTAATATTGCTGTGAAATTAAGTTTTTCAGTTTGTAAATGTTGTTGTTGAAATATATAAATTGAAATAAAACTAATATTTATTCAAATAAACTCGTAGCGCGGTGGGTAGCACCTCACCACTGTAGCGTTATATGATGACCTCGGTGGTCTAGTAGTTTAGCTTTACGTCCGATGGTCGCGGGTTCGATTCCTCGCGCGGTACAAACATTTGTATTCATGAGTATGATTGTTTGTATCGGCCTGGGTGTTTTCTATGTATAATATGTATGTATTTACGAAAAAATATATATTTGTGTATTTGTATCAGTTGTCTAGTTTCCATAACACAAGCTTTAGCTAGCTTAACTTGGGACTAGATGGCGCTATGTGAATTGTCCTGAAAATATTATTATTCTTTATTTTGTTTCTCAGCTTTTGCTGGTTTTCTCCACACTTATTATTATTATATAGGTATGTTGTGATGAGGTGTCGCTACATAATACATTAGTTTATTGTAGAGTCTATGTAGTGAGTATACCGCTGGAATAAATATTAATTGTACATTGGTAAGTTTATTTGGTAGTGTGCTAAATCGTTTATTAATAACGGGTTTATTTGACGCGGAGTCAAACTTAAATGAATGTTAGTGGAGACGACAACTAATGGAATTTCTGTGAATGGAAGTTTGTGGTAGTTCTCAAGTATTAACAGAATTATCACCAACTCAATACAAGCACTTTTGAATAGTCATATTTTTTTATTCTACCACTCATTCGAACCGCAGAATCATTACAAGAAGAACGAGCAAGAAATTTGCGTGTTGCTCTTTTGAATAAATGTTATTTTAAATAAAGAATTACACAATAACAAGTAAGAGGCATGCGATAATCAATATAGAAAATAGTAAAACAAGATGCCGGCTCATAAAATCTTATTAAATTATAGCCTGTGTGTTATTGTAATGTATAAGCTATATTACTGTAAAGTTTTATCAACATCCGTTCAGTAAATTTTGCGTGAGTAACAAACAAACATTCATCCATATTCACAAACTTTCGCGTTTATACATCTGACTCACTCTCCGTTAATAAATCTTAATAATATAGAGAGTGAGTCAGATATAAATATATTGCCATTCACTCTGAAATCATTAATGTCGGAATATAATGCACAATTATAATCAAAACAATTAATACTGAACCTTCATCTATAGTGTATTCAGGTTCAATTCTCTTCAAGTCACCACATTCAAGATACAACTTTTTACTTGTGTCCTCAGCTGACATTGTTTTAAATTACAAAAATATAAAAATCACAAAAATACACGTTACAAAGAAATAAACGGCAAAACTTCTAAATGACATCATTGAATGTTTAGTTTATGGTTAAAAAGTTATTTCTTTTTTTTTCCCCATATTGATCCATCTTTCAATTTTCGTTATCCTTTTCAATGATGAAACAGGCAAAGATCCTTAGACCATACAGCCTAGTCTAAAGTTATTTCTCTTAAAAAGCAATTTAGAGGTAACTATAATAAATAAGTTTGTACAGATATACGGCCTCGGTAGTAGAGCGGTTTAGCACGCCCCTTTATTTCCGATGGTCGTGGTTTCGAGTCCTCGCACGGTAAAAATATTAGTATTTACGAGTTCAGTTTTTTGTATCAGTCAAAATAATTAGAAAACAAATGTGTCTAAGTATTTATATCAGTTGTCTAGTACCCAGAATACATTTAAAATATAAAAATTGTGTACCTACTGCTGCCTGCGTGAACGTGCGCTGTTGGTGCTTCTGATTAGGTGTAAGTCTATGCTATGATAATGTCCGTTTCTACACAGGAGAGCAGTTGTGAGGGGAAGGGAGCTGTTCTAATTCTCACATCCCCACCTTGTTAGGAGCCATAGTTTTATTAGCTGGGGTAAGATATTGGTCAATTCACGCAGACATTATTGCGGCTCAGGCGCCATGTCGTCATTGTCAGGACTATATGTAGCTGTGTGCTATATATTCATGTAAATGTAGGTTGCTAATAAGCATTAACATCTATACATATAAATAAAATTGGAGTGTCTGTTTGTAATATTGAAATAACCGTTTTTTACTACATGCATATGAATATAAATACATACAACAAAATAACATTTTTTTATCATTAATTGTCTGTCTGTTTGTTCCGGCTAATCTCTGAAATGGCTAGACCGATTTCGACGGGACTTTTTTTGGCATGTAGCTGATGTAATAAGGAGGAACTTAGGCTACTTTTATTTAGAAAAATTCTTTTATTATATAAAAATAAAGTTAAATTTCGCGCAGACGAAGTTGCGGGTACGGCTAGTAAAAAATAAATCTTAAAATATCTATAACCTTATTTTAGAGTTTCAGTGCCTTAAAAAGTACCTAATTAAAAAATAAAATGACATGTTTAATTAGGTTGTTTGTCAAAAACAAATACCTAGTAATTTTTTATAATATATATGTATTTTCGATGTAATTTATTTTTGATGGTGTTTTTTAAACAATTATGGAAAACAATTCTCACAGTAAACATAATCACTCTGTGAGTACACTTATAAAAAAAAGAAATTATGGTGAGTACCTACGCACTACTACTATACTCTAGATTTGTTTATACTCAGGATGTTTTTTTAAAGGATGATAATGGAATGGTGCACCCGCTTGCGCTAACTGTATATGTAACGGGGCACCAATGAATGATGATGTGATGAGCATGAAGTCGGGTCAGTTTGCCCATGGTGGCCATGACGGAACGAGTGAAGGAAGGTAGTTTGCCCATGATGGCGAATACACCAGAAATTGACTATGTGTGGTGGTGGTGGTTTGTGAGGGAAGTTACCACCGAACTTTTGACTTTTATAGTGGTGTCCAAATACCTAAATAATGTAGAATAATAGATAAAGAATATTTAGAGTAATAAGATAAGATATATTTCCAAACAAATCAAATCAAATTTATTTGCCATAAATATATATTACATAGATTGGTTTTTATTGTAATATAATGTCTCATTATGTTTTGCCTAATTATTTGTCATCTGAGTAATTATAAATACTTATTATTATTATTGTTTTTTTATATATATATTATATATCTCCCTTTGATGGGGTGTTAAACTTGTCATTGCGGGTGAATATCACCATACAATGACAATTATAAAAGAAACGATTATGATGACAAAATATTGCGGACTATTCTACAGGTGTTTAGAATTACAGCTTTTTGGAGAAGTATGAAAGTAAGTGGGTGAATTACATTATTATTAATTTAAAGACTCGTTTACAGAGAAAAAACATTTGTCGAGTAACCAACTATTTAATTTATATGTCCACCGTCCTCGTGGAAGTCTTTATATCATCTGGTATTTTATTATAAATTCTTATCGCCATATGGAAGACATTATTTTTGAGCATACTTATTTTTGCTCCATGTATGTACAGCTTTGTTCCTACTCTAGATCCTTGACTTCTTTGGCTCATTTCTTTATTTTTAAGAAATATATCTGGACTAGCTTTTGCCCGCGGCTTCGCTAGCGTTAAGTAGTATTATTATTAGGTATAGTTTTTGCGGCTTTACAGTATTTTCATACAAACTTTCATCAGCTATTTTATCCCCTTAGGGGTGGAATTTATCAAAATCCTTATTCTTAGGGGATGCCTATGTCATAGTAGTAGCTTTATGTGTGCAAAGTCTCAGCTCGATCGGTTTAAAATTGACAAAGTTTCATACAAACTTTCATCCCCTATTTCATCCCTTTGGAGGTAGAATTAATCAAAATCCTTTCTTAGCGGATGCCTACGTCACAACATCTACCTGCATGCCAAATTTCAGCTCGATCCCTCCAGTGGTTTAGGCTGTGCGTTGATAGATCACTATGTCAGTCACCTTTGAATTATATATAATTAGATTTTGAATGACAAATATCACTATTTGTTTAATGTACATTCCAGTTAATGTCATTAATCTATGTTTTTTAAATAGTGGTTTGCGGTGATTTTAGGATCAAGATAAATAATATAAAAACACGTTTAATACAATAATATATATAGGTTATACGGATACATCAAGGATACACACTCTCTTTACACAGGGGCGGATCGTGAATTTGTGGGGCCCTGGACTAAATCTACTTAGGGGTCTACCTAATATTACTCAACTAAATAAATACACAGACCAAAAACAAGGGACCAAAATTTCCCCGTTCCTTTCGATAGACGCGCACTTGCATGGTGTAATGGGTTCACATATTTAGTTTATGATAGCTTTGTCTATGTCACTCCGCCTTTGTATGTCATTCATTCAATATAATAAGTCCAATAGGGAAGTTTATAATTTGTGTAATAAATACGATAAATAAAAGTTACTTCAATAACGCTTGTTTACTTAACATTATACATGGGTTGATTGATCTCAGGGTTGCCAACCTTAATATAGGTTTTTTACCATTCTAGGTATTTTTTTATATTCTAAATATCGCTTCAGTGGGGACTGGGGCTCTTTGTATCCTCAGGGCCCTGGGCTGCAGCCCAAAAAGCCCTTAGGTAGATCCGCCCCTGTCTTTACAAATATTCAAACATACTTCGTCTACCATACCAACCAGTCTAGTCATCGAGTGCAAACCTCGTTCTAACATGGTTTCCAGAGGAGAACAATGTGGAAGTCAACAGGATATGGTACATTGTAATTGGGCTATCAGTCCACATTACTAACAATCCCATTGAGTGGTTAAAGGCAGATAAGCATACGGATCAATCACCACCTTTTTTTCGGACTACTCTAATGCTGTTGGCCGCGGCTGGCCTTTACAGCATCACCGGACGATAGGGGCGAGTGCAGATGGCACTCCAAACCAAAGGAAGGACTTTAGAGCGGCTGAAGGCCAACTCAAAAAATGATTGCTCTATATTCCAGAACTTACAGAAGCTTTCGCCAGAGATTATAGAGTGATCCCTCTGATAGAGACAAAGCTCTATGAACATGCTTTCAAAAAAAAATATTCACTGCGAAAGAACGAAGCTATGTCATCCAGTTGGAAACAGTTCGCTAAAAACTACCAGAGTTCTGTGCGCACACCATACAGTTTCCCAAAAAATGAGTATGTATTTTTTATTCTGTCTTAAAATATATACATATATATAAACTTGACTGAGCCCACGGTTTCACTCTAAATTTCAATATAAAATATAGCCTATGTATTATTCTGATGCATAATGTATATTACTGTAAAATTTCATCAATATCCGTTCAGTAGTTTTTGTGTGAAAGGATAACAAACATCCATACTAACAAACTTTTACGTTTATAATATTATAAGATACTAGCTGTACCCGCGACTTCGTCCGTGTGGAATTTAACTATATTTTTCTAAATGAAAGAATTTTTTTAAAATAAAAGTAGCCTAAGTTACTCCTTATTACATCACCTACCTGCCAAAATAAGTGCCGCCAAAATCAGTCCAGCCATTTCAGAGATTAGCCGGAAGAAACAGACCGACAGACAGACAGACAAAAATTATAAAAAATGTTATTTTGGTGTATGTACCGTATTTATATTCATATGCATGTAGTAAACACCGGTTATTTCAATATTACAAGTAGACACTCCAATTTTATGATTGATTTCTTATTTGAGTATGTTAGTATTAGTACATACATAGAAAACAACCAGACCGATACAAACAAAAATACTCATGAATAGAAATGTTTGTACCGCGCGAGGAATCGAACTCGCGATAATCAGAAAATCGGTGTGCTAAACCGCTGGATCACCAAGGGCGTCAAAATAAGTTGTTCAACAGAATATTTTACAATTCGACTATAGTATCTAGTAAGTCCACTTTAGTCCTAGGCAGTCCTGGATTTATAATTAGGCCATATAGGCCGCGTCCTAGGGGCGGCAGTTTTCAGAGGGAGGACGATCACTCTATTTCAGAGGATAAAAGTCAAACACGTTCACTTGTTTTCTCATGGTCTTTTATACTATAGCTAGCTTTTGCCCGCGTTAATTTATCCCTAAGGGGTGGAATTTATCATCCTTTCTTAGGGCATGCCTACGTCATAGTAGCTTTATGCATGCAAAGTCTCAGCCCGATCGGTTTAATACTGACAGAGTTTCATACAAACTTTCATCCCCTATTTTATCCCTTTGGGGATAGAATTAATCAAAATTCTTTCTTAGCAGATGCCTACGTCATAACATCTACCTGCATGCCAAATTTCAGCTCGATCCGTCTAGTGGTTTGGGCTGTGCGTTGATAGATCACTACGTCAGTCACCTTTGAGTTGTATAAATTTTAGTTCTCCCGAATGGCAAC